CAGAAAACGAGGATGCAAAAGGCTAATAAAGTACTAAATAATAACATCAGGAAAAAGTGGAGGTTTGAGACTTCTTGGGCAAAGTATAAGCACAGATTCTTGGGTCACACAGTTTTGATGCATTCATGGACCGATCGTAAATGCATCAAAACTATCTTGATGGCATCTCCTCGTTAGTATGGTGGTGAGTATCATCAAACTTTATCCAACCAATATAAAAGGAAAACCAAATAAATATGTAAAGTACACCTTTACGATTGGTCCGTGAATTCATCAACACTGCCATGATATCATCTCCTCATTAGTATAGTGGTGAGTGTCCCCGCCTGTCATGTGGGAGACTGGGGTTCGATTCCCCGACAGGGAGCTGTTTGTTAATTTACTTCTTTTTTATATAACCTTGGGGTTCAGTGATTAAAAAAACGATCAAACATAATCTTGGGTTAGAAGGTTGAAGATGACCCGGGCCTGTTGCACAATAATGCACATTAATGCATAGAGGAGAAAGCCTTTTAAAAAGCCCGGAACAATAAAAACAACATGCATGTCAGTGCCTTTCACTAAGAAAATCAACAGACTCACAGGTCTTAAATGAGCCTAACATATACAAATTTAACCCAAGGCTAGATTTATTATTGAAATGACTGTATTAAAAAGTCTGTTTTTACTGAGTTTCACATTCCCATGAGCACCTGCGAATGTGTTCATCTGAAATGCTACACAAGATCTGGATGGAAATCACAGCTTTCATGTCCCATCATGCATTGCTGTGGGCCTGCACAGTTATTGTAGCCTTCAGAAAAAGGTTTTAAATGAATTGATATGGTAATATCTAGTCAACGTATTCTACTGAGTGGGAGCTGTGTGTTTGCTCCATTAAATACGTTATGATGGCTGCGGTGTGGGTTTAGCACATAGAACAGGGCCTCCTTAGTACATCCTCAGATACATCTGATGCTGAAAGTTGGGCAGGTTTAAGAGAATCCTCTGGCTCAGAAGAACCTCTGGGGTCCAGGTCAGATCGGGGGGGGGGGGGGGTTCTTTGGGGTGTCCTCCCTCTGGTGCTGCTGTTGATGTAAAGAGTT